ACTTGGTCGCTGGAGGAATTTGTTCGGATGGGACAATTGGGGAAAGGATTGGAGATTATGGGAGAACCGTGTGGTAGAGGGCCGAGTATTAAGGGCTTAGTGGGCCGGGAATTCGTAGAGTTTGGGTCGAGAGTTAAAGAAACAAAATGCTTACTTGGGCTGAGTTCAAAATTGGTACTCTTAGGTAAAATTAAAATTTAGGAAGCTTAGTCACAAAATAAAAGACTTAGGCACATTTTGAACACTTAGGGAAATAAATTAGACCCTTAGCAAAATAAAACACTTAAGCATAAAGTCCAAATTAAACAATTAAGAACAACAAATTGAGCAATTAGTACACTTAGGCAAATTTTATATCATTTAAACACTTAGAACAATCTAATAAAACGAAAGCACACTAAAAAAAATTTAAGAAGACGAGGACATCTTCTTAAATCTAAATTTTTGATTAGGTGAATTAATTAGAAAAATTAAACAGACGAGGACATCTATTTAATTTTTAATAAGCTTAACAGGGAAAAATTGTCGAGCACTACGACTAAAATAAAAGCGAGGCGAATAATAATAATAATAAAGATAATAAATAATAAATTCAATTAATCCTTATAAATATTATTCGATAAAGAGAATATTCCGAGAATTTCTATAAATCGAACGGGGCGTTACAATTGACCCTCTACTATTGGATGATTTAGAGAATGATGTTGTAGTTATCTTGTGTCAACTCGAGATGTATTTTCCACCTGCATTCTTTGACATTATGGTACATCTAATCATTCACTTAGTGAGGGAGATTCGGTTATGTGGCCCTGTGCATTTGCGATGGATGTATCCATTTGAGCGGTATATGAAAATTCTAAAGGGTTATGTGAAGAACCCTCATCGACCGGAGGCGTCTATTGTTGAAAGATATATTGCAGAAGAAGCGGTTGAATTTTGTACTGAGTATCTATCACGGGCTAAATCTGTTGGTCTTCCAAAGTCTCGTCATGTGGGTAGATCTCCTGGAAAAGGGACACTTGGGGGACGAATGAAGAGTGTTGATCATGAAGAGTTGTTACAGGCACATCTGTACATTCTAACCAATACTCCTGAAGTTCAACCTTATTTGGATATGCATAGGAGACTCATAAAGGAGAAAAATCCTCGAAAAGCAGAACGATGGTTAGTGAACGAGCATAACAAGACCTTCATATCGTGGTTTAAGAATGAAGTTGCTAATTGCCCTTCCACTTCAAATACAGTCTCCTGGTTAGCCGCAGGGCCTAATTTTGATATCATATCTTGGCGTGGTTACGACATAAATGGGTATTTGTTCTACACGAAAGAACGAGATGAAAAGAGCACTATGCAAAATAGTGGGGTTTCAGTTGAAGCAGAATCAATGCATTTCTCAAGTGCAAAAGACAAAAACCCGTTATGTGCCTCTAGCTCTTATTTTGGGATTATTGAAGAGATATGGGAGCTTAACTACGTTAAGTTTACTGTGCCTGTTTTCAAATGTAAATGGGTGGATAGTAATAATGGTGTGAAAGTTGATGAGTTAGGATTTACTTTTGTCGACTTTCGTAAAGTTGGATACAAGAATGAACCATTTATCATGGCAAGTCAAGCAAAGCAAGTGTTTTATATCATTGACCCGAGCAACGAAAATTGTTCAGTTGTCCTCCATGGGAAACGACAAGTATCAGATGATGATAAGAATGACTTGACTATTGATGTTTCTGAATTTCCTTCCACCACATCAAGGATTGTTGTTGAAAATGAAGAAGTTGAACTTGATGATGTATGTGTTGCAAGAAACGATCATCATGAAGGCATATGGGAAAACACACCAATAAATTAACACTGCCAGTAAGTATAAAATAATTATTTGGTGTTTATAATTGTATGATGTTTGTAAAATATATTAACTTGATGATGTATGTGCTGCAAGTTAATTGTCGTAATAATTGTGTTGTAATAGTTGTTTGATGTTTGTGTGGCAACATAATTGGTTGATGTTTTACTAGTATTTGCATTCCCCATGTACGAGATTCAAGTCATTTGGAATAAAAGAACAAAACGATATGTGATTTGAATTAAATTTATGTTTTACTGTGTTACTACTCATTGTTTTACAGTTTACAACATCATTTTATTCTATTTTATTTATATAACATCAACTGTTGATTCTTTTCCCTACAATGTTGTACATTTATTTATATATTTCACTTTGTTGTGTGTAGGAATAGAGGATTTCAATAGTGATGATGCTCACTCCGACTCTTCGAACGAGTCGAATCATTCTCAGGAAGATTGTCAAAAAGGCGGGCGCGGAGCAACACGATTGCCACATTTAATGCTTCAACAAAGCGGGAAGAAGAAGAAAATATCATTTGATTGTAATATGCTGCCAGATGGACCAACCACAGAAATCACCACCGAATTCATTAGTTGTGTTAGCCTTTTAGCTCGGAGCAAAGCCAGCATTTTAGCTGAAAATTGGAAAGATGGGGTGCCCGACAAGATTAAAGAGCAAATCTGGCAGACTCTAGAGGTATGATATTTACAAATATTACTATGTTTCATTTCTTTCCATATCATATAAACAGGTATATTTTTTCCATTAACAAATTATATAATATTGAGGTCCATATTAATCTCTTAACTGAAGACGACACTCTGTCCTCAAGGTATGCAGATTGTGGTCAATGTATTGAAGCCTGTTGGTCTGAATTGAGATCCCACTGATTAGTTATCCGAGAAACTCTTTTTTTTTTTTAACTTTTTTCATCAAGATGTGTGTGGCCTTTGACATATATATCTTATGTCAGCAAATACTAATTACTAGAGTCATTATTCAGCCTAAAACTTTATCCTCAAAAGTTGATATTTAACTGTGAGGCTTTTGTTCACTATGAAATTATTTCTCCTTAATCAAGCTTGATATCAATGTATATTTCCCTTCACCTTTATGTTCTTTAACCCTCAACCTTGATACAAAGTGCAATCCCATTAAAATCAACCTTCTGGTTACTTGTTTACTATGAATGGAGCAACAGTTAGTTGGAAAAGTTCCAAACAAGAAACAATTGCTGACTCCACAACAGAAGCTGAATATATTGTTGCATCTGATGCTGCAAAGGAAGCTGTTTGGATAAGGAACTTCATCCAAGGGTTGGGTGTACGACCATCTGTTGTTGATCCAATAAAGATTTATTGTGATAACAATGGGGCTATTGCCCAAGCAAAGGAGCCAAGATCTCATCAAAGATCCAAACACATTATGAGACGATACCATTTGATTAGAGAAATCATTGGTAGAGGCGACGTCGTAGTGGAGCAAGTCGACTCAGCAGAAAATATAGCAGACCCCTTAACTAAGCCTTTATCACAGAAAGTGTTCGAAGGACATCTTGAGAAGATGGGTCTAAGATACATGGGTGATTGGAACTAGGGCAAGTGGGAGATTGTTAGAGTAGGATACCCGGCGTTCCAATCGGATTGGACGTATTCTACTTGTAAATACAATTTATTGGAATTATATTAATTAAAAGGCATTACTTTGTTTTATGAATAAGCATTTATCTTATATTTGCACTTAAGATAAAGTCCCTAGATCACTTATAGCTATAAGGTATGGTTGCGCATAGAGATGGTGATCATGGAACATATCTTAAAAGCTGTGATCTTAAATACAGTTCCAAGTCGTTGGATGTTTTCAGATGGGATATCGAATAAATCTGGAAAAAACTTGCACATATGATGTATGCTTGTTGGACAAGAATGTTGCATTTTATCAACATTAGCGTAGGACGCAAATACATATATGTGGGTGCTTGTTAGAGAACAAGTTCACTGAATATGATCGTATGAAAATTCTTAATGAAAGATTTTTCTTGTCGAATAAGAATTTTCATGTTACAATAGTACATGACTAATCCTTAGACTTGAGGCACGATGGTAAGTTTGTGCATACTATATTTTACTTTGATTTATCCTTTTGATTGCTAGCACAATCGTATAAAGGGATATTTTGGGTATTATATTAATATGTATGGAAGTTTGTCAGTGGTCAACAAAGGATTCGACACTTATGAAGATAAGGGAATTTTCTATGTGTTTCATAGTTAGTAATTCAAAGTCCTTGGCCAATGCAGGATGAATAGAGATTCATAAACGAATTACTAAACTTGAAATGGAATCATAGTTATTAAATCAATTTGGGTTTCGACAAAATCATACCCAAGATTTAATCGGGAAATTGGATGTCGAAAGAATTTTACATGTATGGATTTGTAATCAAAATAGGTTTACTCGCTATTCACTTAATACTAGATTCATGCTACTTGCTAGATGTTCCCATGATATGTGGGTTCTTGAATTAAAGAGTTAATTCAAGAATAAGAGTTAATATGACTAACTCAAATTACAAAGAGTTGTAAGCCCACTACTAGTATTAATTGTGAACATAAAAGGTCACACCAATTTTTGAATGAAGGTAAAATTCAAATAGTAATTCTAAAGAGTTAGAATTAATTGACAAATCTAATTTGATTAGATGTCAATTTATGGAATATATTAAATTAATCAATTGGATTGATTAATTGAATTTTGGATATTTATTTAAAATTGGATTTTAAATTAATAGTTGGAATTTAAAATTGGATTTTAAATTTCAAATCCAAATAATAATATGATTATTAAATGAGGAAATGGAGAATTAAAATAATAAAGTCTTGAAAAATGTTTTCAATAATTATTATTTTATTATTTATCTTTAATATGATTGAAGATTAAATATTAATAAGAATAAATTAATTATAGTAGTTTGGAGTTGTTAACCAATTCACATAATTAATTTTATTTTTATTAATAGAATATTAGGTGGGTAATAGCCTTCTTCAAGACTTAATATTTTATGAAAATATTCTTGAAGACATTTTATATTTTATGAAAATATTCTACCTAAAATTATTATTTTATACTAAAATGTTTAGTATAAATATGGACATATTTGATGTTCAATTTAACTAAGTTTTTAGCTAAGTTTTTCAAGAGTTGAAAAGAGAGAAAAGAAGAAGTGTTCTTCAAAATATAAAACAAGAAAGAGTTCTTGTAAAAATCTCCTCAAAATATATATTCTATATTTATTGAATAAAAACCGAGTAGTTTCTACCAGCGAAGAAATTATTCCGGAACCGGATTTCAAAAGGTGGATACAATTAGAGGGAAAACATTTGGATTCCTAAAGCAAGTAACATCAAGAAGTGGACGTTACCTAACCGAGAATTGATTTCCTCATCCATCGTCAATTTGAAGGAGTTCCAGATAAAAGGTAATATTTGATATTACTTGTAACAAATCAAAATTTGTATTATTACTTGTTTTTAAAGATGACGATCTGTTAATTCGCTTTGTGTATTTACGGGTTATGTATTTATATGATAAATACATGTTTTGAAAAATTTTATTACGCTGTGTTACACTCGTACGGTACTAGCGAACCCAACAATAGATACAAGATAGCCTTGACAGCTACCCTTGGAAAGGCTCTTCCTAGCTTGCATGAAGAGATGACTCAAGGCACAGTCCTCGACTTCACCCCATAGAAGACAACAGGCTGATCGGAATCGGGAAAGAGTGTGACTTCGCGCTCTTGGCACCGGATATCAGCTCGATAGCGAGTGAGCCAGTCAATGCCCAAGATTACATCAAAGTCCCGCATTTCAATGACATAGACGTCAACAACCAGAACTCGACCGCCAATAGAAACAGGAAGATCACGAACCAAGGAATCAGATATAATAATTTTTCCCTAGGCTAGACTAACCTCGCAGATAGGGCCTCAAGGCATCGGGAAGATATAAACGAGTGGGTTGCCCAAGTATCACATAACGCAAAGATGGGCACATTAGATAAGGAAATCATGCCAGACATGGTACCTGCGTTGTTGGCCGTCTCGTCGTGAAATGGTATAGACAGGAGCCTAAGCCCCAGCCCT